AGTGGGGTGAAAAATAAAGAATAGAAGTATATAATAAGTAGCTTAATATAAACAACAATATTATGAAATTTCTTTTTGATTGCTATTTACGTACCCTATTATATTATAGCTAGGATGCTTGTATCTTTTTTTTATTTTTTTAAAAAAAGAAAATAGTAGTGATTACAATTGAATAATTCTTGGTGAGATCTAAAGAATAATAACCCATCCCTAAAGATTAAAGGTAGAGTAACACTGAACAAGCGAACTCTTTGGTAATAATTAGGGGAGCAATGCCCTTTTGTAGGGTAGGCATAAGCCTAACTCTTAATTTGATGATCGATTGATCTCTACTACTTACATATGGACCGTGACCAAACCCATTTCCTTGTTGGCCACGTGGATGACAGCCACTTTTGATGATATAAGCATGAAGTAGGATGATGACTCCCCTTTTCTTCTATCTTACACCCTTCGTCTCTAGGTAAAAGTCTTGTTTTTTATGATCAAATTTAGAGTAGGTATGCACGATAGAGAAGAGGTAAAATGAAATTGCATAAATAAATGTGATGGTATTAATTGATTTTTAGAGGATGTTGTAATTCATTGTACCCTATTTGTGAGTATTCCACATTAAATAAAACGGAGAGATATATGCGATTTTGTTAGGATTAGTTTTAGTACGTATGTAACTTTCTTTGATCTTGTTTGTGGACTTAATTCTTCTTTTTAGGTTGCCCAAGTCCATTTCATGTTATCTCTAACTTTAACTTGATATCAAAGCTTTATTTGTGAGTATTCTGCACAGGAGAAAAATGAAAAAATGTTTCCGCTTTTTAAGTTAAAAAAATTACTTCTACTTAATCTACTATCACCAATTTATTTTAGTATGGGACTTCATTTGGCCTTGATTGTAGACCCAACTCTCCTTCTCCTTGAAAAAATAACATAATGGAGTTAGAGGAATTTGTTTAAAAGTGACATAATATGCCGCACCATCAACGCCACCATACAAGATCCTTGTCAATGATGCATGGTAGGCATGGGATTTTGTAGTGTGGTAGTCGTGATTTGTGACTAACCCTAACAAAATCGCATATTTGATTTCCTGCAAAACCAAGCTAATATGCGTCAATAGCAAAATAGCAACAATTAAAATGCAAAGCTAGGACAGTACTTGGGGCCACAAATCAACACATGTTCTTCTAGCTAGTATATATTATGGTCTCTCTTAATTACCTTCTATGAAATAAAGGTCACTCAATTAAGAGAACTACTATACAAACTGTTATTTTTCCTTTAAATTTCATTTCCGTTGAACTTTTCAATTTTATTTTAACAATTTTGACTTTTATCACCTCAAAAAAAAAACTGATTTATTGACTTTTACCACCACATAAAAAGAAGTTTTATTTCACCACCAACAAAATTTCCAACAATTGGATTTCACCACCAAATAACAAGTCCGTCCATGAATCCATTAGTAGGGTCCACCTTTATGACGTTTCCTCTTCATTTCCCCCGATCTTCCATATCAACCAGCCGGCAACGGAATCGATTCACTCTCGATTAGTTAGAATTTCGAGTGAAGCTAGGGACGGTCAGAATTGAATTGGTGTTGGCTAAAGAGGGGGTAGGAATTAGGTGGTCGTTAGGGTTTTAGGAGTGCGAAATTTGGTGGTGGCTAGGGTTTTAGGTTTGGTCGGAATTCAATAGGTTGGGGCTTTATGGGTGGTGCGTTGTGCGGTGCGGGGACTTTGGCTGGTGTGTTGTGCGGCGCGGGGGATGTGGTTGGTGCGGTGGATGTGTGGCTAGTTGGTGGTGGGGCTTGTAGTCGGTCCGACGATGGGGTTGGTAATCGGTCCGGCGGTGGCCGGTGGGCTGGTAGCCGGTTGGTGGCTGGGTTTAAATTTTTTTTATTTTTTAAAAAATTTACCCAATAATATGGTGACACGTGGACATGGTAGCTCCCATTGACGGTCGGAATCCGTTACTTGGCGGTGATTGGTGATAAAAACCATCTTTCATTTTTTTATGTGGTGATAAAATAAAACTTTTTTTTTATATATATGTGGTAAAAGAAAATAAGTTGTTTTTGGAGGTGATAAAAGTCAAAATTTCCTTAATTATATAACAATTCTTTAACTTAACGAATTGACTGAGATCAAGCGATTTTGATCTAGCAATCCTCCTAACAATTGTAAGTGTTTGTATTAGGTGCATGGTACAATTAAGATATTTTTCTCGGTGTTAAAAAAAAATATGTATTCTTATAATCGTGTAGTGCGTGTTCTTGATGATGAGCATTTAAAAATTAAAAAAAAAAACACTGATTATATTTTATAACTAGTTTTTGGGTCTGGACGATGCCTCGAATTATTACATGAAACTCACTGTTCATTAATATACATTGTAATTTATGATTTAATTTTCTTTGTATGAATACGTGTTTTTTTTAAAAATAATTAAACCGGTTTATATATATATAATTGAGATCATTTGAGAACCAAGGTGAATAATAGGAACTAATCTTAGCCATTGATCGCACTCCATCTAATGGCTCACATTGCACCCGCTCTCCCATTAATGACATTCTCGTAATTTCGCTGTTTTCAAACTTTTTTCCAAGTTTTTTTTAAACTTTTAAGGCAATTTCATTTACTTTAAGCCTGATTTCATTTACTTTTACTAAAATTTTCATTTACTTTTGAGAAATAAAACTGGAAGCTACTTTATAAAGTTAAAATATTACAAAAATGTCATTAATGACACGAAATATATATATATATATATATATATATATATATATATATATAGGGATCCGGTGAGAATAGTAATGTGAGAATTCATACTTATATGAGAACTGATTTAAAATTTAGAACATGCGAGTTAAATTTAGAACATATGAGTAATAATTTAGAACATTTGTGTGAGTAATATATTTAGAAAATCTGATTTAAGTATTAGAACAAGTGATTGAAAATATATGTGAGAATTCATACTTATATGAGAATTGATTTAAAATTTAGAACATGTGAGTAAAAATTTTGAACATAATTTAGAACATGCAAGTTAAATTTAGAACATATGACTCAAATTAAAATTTTGAACATGTGAGTAATAATTTAGAACATTTGTGTGAGTAATATGTTTAGAACATGTGATTTAAGAATTAGAACAAGTGATTAAAAATTTATAATTTTTTTTTTTTGTGAAATTTTAAATATATGAGTAAAATTTAGAACATTTGATTTAAGATTATGAACATGTGAATAAAAATTTAGAACAAACTGATATAGAATATAGAAAGTGTGAGTAAAGAATTTAGAACATACGAGTAAAAAAATAGAACATACAATTTAAAATCTGGAACATATAATTAGAAATCTTAAAACACACGTTTTAAAATTTAGAACATACAAGTTAAAATTTTGGAACAAGTTATTTAAAATTTATGACATCGAACTTAACTAATTTATGGTTTAGAACATGTGAGTACTAAATTAAAACATTTGATTTAATTTAGAATACCTAAGGAAAAGTTTAGAACATCAGATTTAAAATTTTGAACATGCGAGTAAAAATTTAGAACATAAAGAGTGTTCTCACATAAGAAAAATTCTCACATAAGAAAATTTCTCACGAGAGCCTTTCCCTGTATATATATATATAACATGTTTGATAATCAGATTAAATGGCTAAATACTCAATTTTGTTGTAAGTGGTTTAGGGGTTCAAATCCTATTATCTTCAAATTTTTTATATTATCTTCAAGTGTTTGTGAAGTGACATGGCGTCATGAATTATTAGTGAAGGGATGTTGTGTAATTTGCAAAAATCTACTTGACGAAGGGTCGTTTTTATAAACGCCTTTTAATATATTAGTATATATATGCAATCAAATTTGTTGGATGGAGAAAATCCTTAGCTCTATCGTCTATTAATATTAGCTCACATTAATATAAATTTCTTCTAAAAATAGAATAATTTAAGATCTGATTAGGGTAGGATTTTGAGTCATGTCAATTTTGGACAGTCAATTGGTTGTAACTTTGTAATTTAGTTCTAACTTATAACATCAGCAAAAGCAAAGCAAAGCTGACCAATATTAATTTTTTTTTCTGTTACTTTATAATTGAACATGAAATCTGACGAATCCTTAATTCAGACAAGAAAAATTTGCCAAACTGATAAAACTATGTTGATTACTAGAAAATAATTACTTAACAAATACGTTAGTTACTTAGTTGTACTAATGTAAAGTACAATAAGATGTCAATCTCAGAAATTGCAAAATAAATCCCAATCTCACCTTTACAGGTAAACATAGGAAGTCTACTGTCTAATGCCTACTCTAACTCTCTAAGACTAAAAAAAAAAGGCTTTTTCTTTTTTTCTCAATATTTGTGAATATTATTATTTAATAAAATGGATTTGGTCCACAATATCGTTCACCCATTCGATAATAACTTTCATAAGTTATTCTTTAACATGCCATTAAGCAATCACGTTTGAGCTATCCTCTAATTATATGTTTAAGTAACCAATATTTTAAAGTGTAACTCAAGGTATTTAAATACCAACTTTAAAAACAACAAGGCAACTTCTTCAAAGATAAGTCCAACTTTTTGACTAGATTGATATAAAATTTATACTATTTACATTTCATAATCTTCAAATATATTCTCTATTTAAACATTAGTCACAAACACTGCTTTAACCAACATTTATAATTAACATTAAAAAGAATATATTAAGAGTATTATTAAACTCACACATTTTAAGATAAAAACTTTCACATCAACAAACATGAAAAAGTGAAGAGTATTATAATACGAAGGTAATATATCAATATATAAAGCGGTGTTAAAAACTAACTCGACCGACCTAATATGAAATGATCCGAACATAACTTGATTCAAATTTCAACTTGTATAGACATAATAATTTAGCATAATTCAAATGTAAAATAGACCAGTCTTAAATTAATCTCACTTAATCCAACCTAAATATCCAAATTGACACCTCTAAGTTTATAGTTGGATTTCCATTAATTAATTAGCACCCTAGCTTGGATTGGTGTGGCCTGGCCTCCAAATTTAAAAAACACGTACCGTTAATTGAAAGTATAGTCCAACGTTTAATTGGTTACCCGCCGCCTTGGCAGCACTCAAAAAATAAAAATAAAAATAAAATAAATAAAAAAAACCTTGCAGAAAAAGCCAAGTTATGCCTAATCTAAACATTATATTTTCATTAACATTTAACATTGACATTCCTCAACCTCTCGTGATCACACCATCTTATTGCTGCTTCTGTTTCACGTCACTCTTCTTTCTCTCCCTTTAAATATCATCCACAACTACCTAGTGGACTCAAAACACCCTTCAATATAAATACATACCTCCTTTATTTTCCTTAATTACCATTTCTATCTACACTTAAACGTACACTACTCATTTTATACTATCTTCTTCTTCTTCTTCTTCTTCTTTGCTTTCGTCGATTTCTAATTAGTGTTGTTTTGTTGTTATGGCGGATGATAATCATGGCGATAACTTGCCTCCGGGTTTTCGATTTTGTCCTACGGATGAGGAGCTTGTTGTTCATTTTCTTCGTCGTAGAGATGCCCTCTTACCTTACCATCCTGATGTTATTCCTGATCTTGATGTTTATCCTTACCATCCTTGGGAGTTGGAAGGTAACATATCTATTTTTTTATGAAAATATAAACATACAAGGACTTTCATAAAGCTAATTAAGCTAAGTATTATACAATAACATATATTTATTTTCATTGGTTAGTTATTTACTAGTGGATTTAATATTATGGTAGTACCACAAGATCTGATCTATCATACAAGAAATGTAAATCCTTTTTTTCTTTTTGAGCAAAATATACACGAGTGTAGTAGTTAGAGTAAAAGTACACAAGTAGTCTACTAGGCACTTCTAAACATAACTCTTTTGTGTTATTCATGTCATTCCTATCTTTTAGACACCATTAGCTAGCAAGTAGCAACAATATTATTGTATCCTTCTCAACATATATGATTATATGGTCCAATTTTCTATTATAAATCCAACTTAACTTATTTTTACCAGCTACTACGTATACAAATAAAGATATGTCATTTGAATGATATACATTAAAGAATGGGATAATTAAAAAGTTTTAATTATGTAATATTTTCCCTCCGATAATACAAGTAATTTTTTGTTTCATGTATGTTATAGTATATTTTTATTTGACATTGATCGACTACATACTATAGTATGTAGTACGTTACACGTCGCGGATATAGAATAATGAGACGTACATGCTGGTTTTCTAAGACTATATAAACTAAGTAACATACGCAGCATGCAAACTGTAATACCGTACAACTTGCTTGTTTTTGTGCATTTCTTAAATTTGAAACTAAAGAGAGTAATCATATTATTCTGTACCAGATTGATCATTTTTTGCACCAACAAAAACCACCACTTTATTATTTTCATCATCAATTAGAAGCAACTTAAAAAGTTGGAAGGTCCCATTTTCCATATACAATAACAAGATGTGGGATCATATGTTTTTTCATTCCGATTCATATATTAGCTAACGATGATGTAACTCGTCACTTTTTTTAGGTCATTACATACTCCCATGCATGCATCCTAATTAATTTCATTACTCTGTTCATTGAATCTATATATATTTATTATATCGCGGACACTTAATAGTTTCTCCTCTTCTAAGTGATAGATTACTCAAGTAGTTACTACGAATGAATCAAATAAAAAGAAACATCGGAACTAATCATATACATGTTGTGACTATGTCATCGTGTTATATAATGTGTATATACACATAACATATCATAATATTTACATATTCAATAATTAACCCTTATAAATTATGAAATTAGAATAATATGATTGAATTATTTTACAGGAAAAGCATTTTCGGAAGGAAGTAAATGGTACTATTATAGTAGAAAGATGCAAAATAGGGTGACTGAAAGTGGATATTGGAAACCAATGGGAATGGATGAGCCAATAATGTCGTCAAGTAGTAGTAGAAAAATAGTTGGTATGAAGAAATATTACGTGTTCCATATTGGCGAGCCGCCTGCCGATGTTTGGACCAGTTGGATAATGCATGAGTATAGACTTCCTGACTCTGGGTCCACCAGTAAATCTGGCTCAAGAAAGAGAGGCCAACCTAAGCTAGTAAGTCGCCTTTTACATTATATAGACTGACGATGCAATCGATAGTCATTTTTCAAACGACTACTGTAAAATGATCCCGATATTCAGAGTTAGCTTGAAATAGTCATGTTATTTCTATAATCTTTTTTTTTTTTTTTGAAACACTGTTATTTCTATAATCTCTTCTTATACAATTATAAATGTGACAATCAATATATGTTGTATATGCATTAAGTTTAGAGCAACTTTCACTACTTGTAGTTTTTCACAATCAATGCATAAAAGGTTGAACATATATGCATTGATGGAGTAGTCGTATTTATCCTAATCCGTTTATTGAATGATTGCAGGATTATAGTAAATGTGTCATCTGTAAGGTGTATGAGCGAAGGAATGATGATGATGATGGCGATAATGATACTGAGCTTTCGTGCTTGGACGAAGTATTCTTATCTATGGATGACCTCGACGAAATTAGTTTGCCAAATTAAGTGTAATTAATTAAAACTTTGTATTTCTAGGTCACTCATCACTAGATATGATGATGAAAAATCTAAGTTTAATAGTCATAGTTGACAAAAATGTAGAAGCAAATGTGATGACAACCACCAACATATGTAGTTGTTCATCTAATGATCATATAGCATATGGGAAGTCTTCAAGAAAATCCAACATTTTCCTCTTTTGTGGAATTTGAAGTTACAATTTTTATATCCTTTTTGTAACTTCATGGATCTTCATCATTATCTTTTCAAAGGTTTTTAAATTTCAACTTAGCTAAGGAAAAAAAATACTCCCTAATAAAAGAAGAAAGAGTGCAAATCAAGTGACATGTGACCTCTAATAAAACGACATGTGGCACATGCTTATTCTTCCAAAATCAAATTACAAACGGTTATTAGTTGTAATTCCGAAATTTTATGTGCATGTCGGACATGTTGACTCTATTTTGCACCATATAATCCAAAAGCGGCTTAAAAATATTCCCTATCAATGACTATGAAACCTCATAATTATTTGTAGAATGCCTAAAGTAAAGTGTGGCTAATTATACATAAATGAGGCATATACTCATGCATGCTTACATGTATATAGTAGTATATACATACAATATGTATATTTTTGTATAATTAATCATTCAATACTTCTAACCCATAGTTTACATGACCACAAGATTAAGACCTCAATCTGTACAACTTATTTTGTCTTCTATCAATACAACTTATTTTGTCTTCTATCAATACTACTTCCTCCGTTTTATTTTAAATGTAACACACTTTTTGATATGCTTTTATAGGAGTTGATTAGAGTGGTTAAACAAGCTCGATCTACTTATTATTAATAATAATAAAAAAAAAACTCAACACCGAATAATCAATTAATTTTTCCGTTTACATAACTTAGTCTCTTCCTCAAAGTGTGTGTCAATAAGAATGTAAGTTGCATTTAAAAGATGAGGACGTATTAGTTTAGACTAGCTTGTTCTACAATAATGAAAACAAGTTTATATATACATACTCACAAATACATAAGTTTCTATACAAAAAAGTTATAAATAGTTCAAATAATTAATAAAACTTTCAATCGATAATACAAAGCTCAAATAAGTTTGAATCACATAAATTGATACAAATTAAAATAAATTGAATCAACCAAACTCTAAAACTCGAATTTTTACTTATGTTGAATCTATCTTAGAGCTATGTTGATCTAATTCAATATAGATAGACACTAAGTTAATTAAATTGGAATAACTTTCTTAACCTTAAACCTAAGTATGTCTTTGGTATATTATATTTTAAAGTATACTATATTAATTAGTAAAATATAAGTAGACGTGGGTTTATCAAGTTGGGTTGATGATCGAGGGGAGACTCACGTGCAGGTAGTGAGGGAAGGAAGTTGGAAAGTGTGGAGCCCAAAGAGCACTGTAGGTAACAAAAAAAAAACCTTGTGCATATAGGAGTTTGTCTTTCCTTCATTGTTGTGGCGCTTTTTAGCCCTTTTCTATCAACCTTTTTAATGGGAGTTTTAGTGGTTAGTTGTCTTGTACCACAATTGTTGGATATTTAATACATGCCTGCTGAGGATAGCATGAGATCATTTGTGATGCAACTATACAACCATGTTTGTGAAGAGAATTGAGCTCATGGCCAAGGTAAATAAAGACCCCATCAATTGGTTTCGTTGGTTACTTTGTGTTCTATTCAACTTATATAAGTAAATAGTTGATTAATTTGGAAACAATTAGGTCATACTATATTATGTACTTACATATACTCGAGGGGCGAGTGTAGGGCGCCATGACAAATGTTTTAAAATCGTGTGTACAATAATTTATTGTGTGGCAAGAAGAGAATGGAAAGAAATATGGGTAACTTTTGTGACACTATGAGTAACTTTTGTTATTTATGAGTAACTTTTGATAGTTTAAGGTTAATTTTCTAAGATAAAAGTAATTGGGTAATAAGTAGAGGTGATTAAATTCGAGCTGGGCCGGGCTTTAATAAGAAAACTCATGTCCAAACCCGTTAAAAAGTGTCGGGCTTGTTGGTCTAAATGGGCTTTTCAGGCAGATCGGACTTCTTTTTATTTAAATTATGTTTAATGACTTGCTCAAACTCGGCTGTTTTTCATTCTGGCGGATCGGGTCATAGTTGATCACCTCCTAATAAGGGTACCTTTCTTTTTATATAACTAAGGGTAACTTTTGTAATAATATACTACTTAGTTGCAACTTTGGGGGTATTATTTGAGAAATATAAAATATTTCAAAATTGCAACTAAAAAAAATCGGAGATAGTATCTTTTGGTATATAATAATCAGATGCACATTAAATTTACTGTATACCGAATGAATACAAAATTCTTTGTTTTCTATATTTCTACATTAAGCCAGTTAAACTTTCAGAAACAAAGTATATATACCACTTTTAATGTTTGATTGAACGCCATTGACTAATGTTGAAAGTAACAATTTTACAAACTTTTTATTTGATAGTATTAAATACATAACGATTGAAGTTTGACTCGTGTGGTAATGTTCTCAAGTTTTTAATTCTTTACGGCTAAATGAGTCAAACTTCCTTTTAATCGTTTCTCCTATACATTTTACTCATGCATCCCACTAATTTTAAAAGGTGAAATGTATTACATTGAATTACAACAATTAAAGAAGACCATAATTAAATGCTAATTCCTTTCGGTTCACGCCTCTTCCCTCCTTTTCCCTTCTTATCTAATCATCATAAAACACAACCAAAATTACTACGGGGAATTCAAAAAAAATTCAAAATCTAACTTTGCATATTATATTACCAAATAATATTACATGGAGAATTTACATAAGTATTTGCTAATTTTCAATTCTTCAAACACTAAACAAAACGGGAAGTTTTACTTCTTAGCCTCAATTAACATGGGTCTCAAATACGGAAGTTTCTACTATGGTCACTTTTATTAGGACCATTACTATTCTTGAATCCTATTGGTTGATTTTTCCATTTTTTTAAATGCTTGGGCAAACTTCTTTTTTATTTTATTATTTTTTAAATTATTTTCTTTTTCTAGAAAATAATTTTTGATTTTTCAAAAAAAAAAAACAGTTTGTAATTATTCAGTTTTATTATAAAATCTGAAATAAGATTTAATTAAAACAATCAAAAATCAAAAAATTTTATCTTCATTGTTCTTCGTTATTTTTCAAGATTCTTCAAAGTTCTTCATCCATGGATGAAATTAATCACCAATTCATGATCTTTGTCTCGCAAACACAATCGCACATCAACAAAGATTAAAAATATGACCCGATCTACACACCATATGCAAAATTTTAAATTTTCCGAAATCGAGGTTCTAGCGGAGCGAATTTGGGTTTGTTTTTAATCCTAGAATAATAGATTTTTATTGGACAATCTCAATCAAAGGATGCAAAAGTTGAGATCTTATGTAATCGAAATTAAAAATTTTAAGTTTTTCGTTAATGTGGGTTCGCCAGGAAAATTCAAGAAGATAACGTAACATATTTTCTTCAAAATTCTGTTTGATCGAAAAAAATGAAGATGAAATTTTAAAACTTGTTTTTGTATTAGGTTTTCACCAATATGCTAATAGGACATTACCTATAACAAACAGTTTTACTGTTTATTCGTTTGCGACCATAAAGAGTATTATAATCATATTAAATGCTATGATTATGACATTTAATTTATGATTATATTTATGTTATCATCAAAGAAATTCATTATATTATCAATGCAATTAAATTTAACTATTAATAATTGATTTGAATTACATTGAAGACTTTAACATATTAATTATCAACAAAAGGTTATGACCGTGCACATTATAGGTCATTACATTATGAAACGATAGAAGCCAAGCTTATGTCATGAACTATTTATATAGAAATGTAATTCAACTAGTTAAATATCAACTAGGGTCGTGATTTTTGCGAATTCAAAAAATAATACTATAATATTATTTTCCAAAGAAAAAAGATATTCAACAATTATATATATGGTTAACTTAACAATTGAAATCTAAATGTCTTTCAAAATTTGATAAAAGTTTCTAGACAAAACTTATGTTACAAATCTTACAATATGTCAATTTTAAATATCATGCCTTCAATAAATCGAGTTATTATAGTTAATTATTTATCATCATTAATTGTATTCCATATATTGATACTATCCTTATATATTGATATTTAACTAGTTGGATCACATTTCTAAATAAAAACTTTGTGACATAAGTTTGGCATATATCGTTTCATAATGTAATGACCTATAATGTGTATAGTCATAACTTTCTATTGATAATAAAAAGTGTTAAAGTCTTAAATAATGTAATTCAAAACAATTATTATTATTATAACATTCTTTATGGTCGTGGACGAATAAACTATAAACCTACTTGTTATAGGTAATGTCCTATTAGCATATTGGTGAAAACCTAATACAAAAACAAAATTTAAAATTTCATCTTCATTTTTTTGGATCAAAAAAGGTTTCGAAGAAGATATTTTACGTTTGCTTCCATGATTTGTTTCACGAACCCAGATTATCGATAAAGTGAATATTTAAGATTTTCAACTACATGTAATCGCCAATTTCGCATCCCTTGATTGGAATTATTCAATTTAAATGTATTATTCTAGGATTAAGAAACAACCCACACAGACGAATGCGTATGAACTCCAATTTCAAAAAAACAAAAAAATAAAAAATCGTACATGGTGTGTAGATCGGGGCATGTATTCATTTTCCGCCCGAAGCGTGAGTTAATTTAAGAGACATAGATCATGAATTTGTTGTTATTTTCATCCATTGATGAAGAAACTTGAAGAACTTTGAAGAACATTGAAGAACTACGAAGAATTTTTTTTTATTTTGATTTATTTAATTTAATCTTATTTTTGGATTTAATTAATAACTGATTTTAAGTAAATAATTTCGAAAATCAAAAAAGAAATTTTGGAAATCAATAATTATTTTTTGGAAAAATGAAAAAGAATTAAAAATGGAAAATTCTAAAAATAAGGTTTGACCAAGATTAAAAAAAAAAAGCAAAAATTAGTCAATCATAATTAACTATAGTCATAGTGAGAGTGACCATACTAGAATTTTTACTCAAATACAATATAAATCTTGTTTGTACAAAAATTTAATTAGTTGATATATAAATAGGATAGCCGCCTGCAATAGCATGT